ATTAGCCCTTTACCCATCTCACCACAGGGCACCTGGGAAGAAGCAATGCTGAACCAAACATGGACTCCCAGCTTACAGAGTTGCTCCTGCATGGCCTCCATGGGAGTCTGACAACCAATCAGAATTACAAGCTCAAAATCAAAGGTCAGAGAGGGCATAAAACCAGGAACTTTCAGCATCTCTTCTCTTTTTCTTCGTCACCCAACATCTGGAGGCATGTGATCCCTCTTTTCTGTTCAGGAGCTGAAGCCATGTGATCCTGTCCATCATTAAACCATCTTTCCAAGCAGCCTGCATGTTTCCAGTGTCTTTTTCCCCCACTTGGAATTGAACCCAGAAGGACATTCCTTCCAACAGGCCAATACCCTCCATAGCAGCCTTCCCCAATTTAACTTTGTAAAAGCAACGATGGACATTGTAGTGCAGGGGTGTCAAACTCAAGGCTCGTGGGCCAGATTTGGTCCATAGGGCGCCCTGGAAACAGCAAAGGACTGGCCCATGGTGCCTCTGCCAGCAAAATGAAGCTCAGGATGGCTACATGTGGCCCTCCCGATCTTCACAAAGCAGTAAAGAGCTCTCCTCTTGCTGTCAAGGCAGCTAAAAGCTCATCCTTGCCCAACTTGCTAAGTCTCTCTGCCATTAGGTCTCTTCTTCCTTATTTCGGTTTCCCACCCCCAAAATCAACAGCCACCTCAAACCACAACCAGCCATCAGAAGAACAAGTTAGTGTGTTTCAAAAAAGGAAAAGGAAATAATTGCGAACTATAAATCTTTTGTTCTGCATTTTGCATTCTTTTAGCCCTATGTAATATGGGGTGGAAAAATTAATAGACCAGTTGGGAGGAAAGGGGCGGGGGAATCTCTTATTCACAAATATCCATTGGATTTGAAAGATTGTCTTTGCAAACTTTGATTTGTAACATCTGTATGAGAACTCATTACACAGATAGCATAAGCTGCTCTAAACATGTGGACTGTTGCAACCAAGGACGCTGAGTCTGTGGTTTCACCATATTGCTCCACATGTTATCTTTGGCAAAATAGATGCATTCCAATCAGCAAGGCCTTGTTCCTTTTGCTTCTCTCTAGAGCCACCTGCGTTGGGTGCAAATCAAGATGGCGGAGCCAACAAGATCAGAGAGCAGCCCAAAAGTGAGTAGGGGCTTCTTGACTGCAGCTCCTTGTTGCCCGAAACTGTCCTTATTTTGCTTTTGATCCTGCTCTCTTTCTGTCTCCAGAAATCCCACGGACGCACATTTTGCTCATGGCCAAGACACATTCTTCTCGCTGTGTTGAAGTGGAGGTTTGGCTTCCCTACGATTGGGAAAGTCAGAATACTTCCTTGGTAAGACCCCCAGATTCCTAGAGGCATCCTCTCTCCAGGGGTGGGATTGAAAAATTTCAGCAACGGATTCTCTGCCTGGTTGCGGGTGGGTGTGACTATGGTGGGTGTGGCCTATTCAGCTTCTTGCACCACAGGGAGATGGGGGTGTTTTGCCCTCCCCAGGCTTTCCTCGAGACTCCAGGAGGGTGAAAACTGCTTCCTCTGGAGGCCGGAAACAGGCCCATTTCTGGACTTCCAGAACTTCTGGTAGGCCCGTTCTTCAACCTCCCTGAGCCTCCATGTAGGCCCTGTGCTTACCTGGCATGACGAACGGGCCACATGGAGACTCCTGGGAGGGCAGGGAGGGGTGGGCATGGCCAGCCAGTGGTGGCATTTGAGGGTTCGCCAAACAGGGCAGAATCCTAGCTAGAGGATCGGCTGAACTTGTGCGAATCCCCAGCAGCCCACCCCTGCCCCTCTCCTAAAGATAGAAAGATCTAGGTCAGTGACGGTGAGCCTTTGGGGCTAGGTGTGTCAAAAGTTCGGAAAGTCCTAACTTGATTTTGCTGTGTGTCATTTTTGTCTCCCACCACAAAATACAAACAATTATTTACATGTTTATTTGTTCTTTGTAAAAAATGCAGTCCAGTCATGAATGGTGCGATATATTGTATAAAGGAATGTCAAATAGTTACAAAAGAAAAAAAAGTGAAGCAAATTCCTTTTTGGAGTCTGGCTTTCAAAAATACTTGTTGTTGGGAGTTGGTGAATTTGGCATGTCACCCAAAACATCATGGTATGGCTCTTTTGACAGACATGTCATACATTCATCATCACTGATCTAGTTATTTATTATTGCATTCATTCCCAGCCCTTCTCTGGAAGGGTGTCTTGTCCTAGGCCAAACATACAGAAACATAGCAGGCAGATAACGCAAATTTTATTGTTGGTTATTTACTATACCTGTCCAAATGGCAGGAATGTTGTTACCACCATACACATATACATACACTGGAGAGAATTTCCCAAAGTCAAGGAAGCTATTCTTAATCAAATCCCCCAAAGTTTCCAAGTCTGAAGTAGAAGGCAAAAGAGTAGTCAGCGGAAGGCCCAAGGGTCAGAGCATCACAGAAAGTTTGTCAGAACCCCCCAAAAAAGTTGTGGGATTCAAAGTCAACATTCAGGACACACAGAAACTCAGAGCCAGGTAGGTGCTGTGGTTAGAATGCGGTATTGTAGGCTAATTCTGCCGACTGCCAGCGGTTCGTTTCTCACCAGGCTTAAGGTTGACTCAGCCTTCCATCCTTCCAAGGTTAGTAAAATGAGGACCCCAGTGTGTCTGGGGCAATACGCTGATTCTGTAAACTGCTTAGAGAAGGCTATAAAGCTCTGTGAAGCGGTATATAAATCTAAGGGCTATTGCTATTGTTATCTTGATTAGCGGAGAGATGTTACCAACCAAGAGATTTGGGTTTTGCTATTCTGCAAAGTAGAGCTCCTGATAAGTGAAAGCAACCACAACCACTTGTGAAGAGTCTCAACACTAGTTCGTTGCTAGTCAACTATGTTTGCAAGACTGACCTCATTTTCCTGGAAACAACAAGCTAAGGCTTCAAGGATTCTGGAGGAGATCAGGCATGTACTGCTTCCTGCAGCACAGTAACGCCAGACCTGAGCCCCTCTTAACCATGACCCGTCAAAAGCGCAAACGTCATAAGCGCGCCGACAACACCGCGGCGCTAAAACCGCGATGTCAAAAGCGCGCCG